GCGTGCCATCGCCGTGGCGTGTTGGCCGCCGGCGCCGCCAAAACATACCAAGTGGTGAGCAGACGTTTCGAACCCACGGCCTTCGCTAAGAGAACGAATTGGACGGGTCATGGCCGCATTTGCAACCAGCAGAAATCCCATGGCAACCTGCTCGGCCGTGAGGAGGTCTTCTTGCCGCCGTTGAGCATTGATCCCGCGAGTGAGCTCCTGAAATTTCGTCTCAACCGCCTGCCTGTCCAATGGGCGCGCGAAATAGTGTGGTAATATGCGGCCGAGGAAAAAATTCGCATCTGTTATCGTCAGAGGTCCTCCATGCCCGTAGCATGCCGGACCAGGATACGCTCCTGCGGATTCCGGACCGACCACGAAGAGGCCGTTGTGGTAGAATAATCGACTTCCGCCGCCCGCCGCGACTATATGTCTGTCAGAATGTCCAATTTGGTGAGGATGCAAACACCTCTCGATGGGGGTTCATACCGGTTTGAACGTCTAATTGCGGGTTCTGTATGGTGACCTGGGCAACCGTTGTCTCGAAAACATGCTCCAGGGTCCCGCTGAACCGAGAAACGTCGGTGCTAGTGCCGCCCATGTCGAAGCCGAGGATTGGAACTCCTTGATCGGGATCGTAACACGTTTTGGCAGCCCCAAGAACGCCTCCTGCCGGCCCGGAGAGGATTGCGCGAAGCCCTGTAAAGGCAGTAATGGGTGTCAAGCCTCCATCGGATTGACACAACAGGAGCTTGTTTGCACTCCCGTCCGCAAGGTGGCCCTTGAATGATTTGCGGAAGCCATCCAAGTATCGTATGATGATGGGAGAGAGGTACGCATCTGCAGTGGCCGATTGGGCCCGGGGCACTATCTTGATCATCTGCTGCAGTTCGGATGAGACAGAGACGCGGAACCCGATCTGGCGAGCGATTCTCGCGATGGCGGCCTCATGGTTGGGATAAGCGTACGAGTGTAAAAGGGCCAGGGAAATGTCCCGGTAGCCCTCTTCCCATAAGCTGTGCAAGTCCTTGGTGACAATCTCCATATCTGGCACCTTCAGAATCCGAATTGCCTCTCCCGTCAACCCCTCGACTAGTTGCTGATCGGATCGAATGTCAATGTGCTCAGGCTCGGGGTCTTCAGCAAAGCCTTCCACAGTGACTCGCTCGTCGACTTCCACCACTTTTTCGTAGAGGACGTCGAGTTTGTGGATCGACAGATCAAAGAGATGTGGACGAGCCTGATTGCCAATCACCAACAAGTCACGAAAACCTTTGGTCATCAGAAGAGCCACTCGTGCCCCTTTTCTTTCCAATAAGGCACTAGACAGCACTGTTAGAATCATCTTCGCCGTCAAAGCATGGAGGACAAGCATCGTACTTGGTGGCAACAGTCGTTCCCATTCTGATGGATTCGACTCCAGCCAGGTCAATCAGGGTGCCCTTTGGGATCTCCTTTCCCTCCGCGATGCTCAATACCTGCCGGATCCCTTCGGTCGGGGCATCTTCATACTCGTCCGGTGCGCTCGACAGGATTTTGAGAATCACATCATCTTTTCGTCCAGGAATTCGTGCCCAGCTAAAAGGTTTATACACGGTCAGCTTCCCGTCACTTGGATACTTGATCAAATCTAGCCCTACAAATCGCAAAATGTGCCTCCTCGGTCAATGGCTATTCGAATCCCTGACTGTGCCGGCCCCGCTGCTGCAATAGATCCCATCGTTTCGGAGCTGGTCGGTCTGTAAGGGCAACAAAAATCTCGACCCGGGATCGCAAGATGTACTTGTTCGCCAAGGGCTGCATTGGATCTGATGATATCAACTCTTATTTCCCGCTCTCATCCATTGGAAGGAGGCTCATTTAGACCTTGCATGATTTACTGAGCCAACCGATATAACACGGCCGTTTGATTGGGATTCGGCACAGAGGAGCCTTGTGCCAAAATTGTTGTTCGTAGTCTGTCTAGAGCTTAGACCGCACCACGTACTCCACGCTCGGTGTAGAGAGTGCATTACACCGATATCTTGTGCGATAAGAAATATCGGCAGAACGATGCATATTCCGATCTTTCCAATTTAGTGCAAACAAGTAATTTACCTTTGTGAAGACGGGAACGGTTGTGGTCAAAGAAAGCGTCGAAAGGGTCGATTACCAGCCCTGGAACACGATATGATATCTTGACTACCTCGAATGTCTATCCTGCCTAGGTATGTAGATAAAAAGGGGAGCTATCCTCCTGTGATCTCGTGTCCCCAAACTCGTCCAAGAATACAAAGAAAGCCCACTTTTCCGTGGACCAATATCTACGAACATGGCAGAGAAGACAGAGACCCCAACCCCTAAAGACATGGGGGTGATCGAGAGCAATGTCGTTGGTGAGAGGACAAGCGACGACGCCATGGGAGCCGACTCCTTCTACATTGACCCCGTCAAGGAAAGCAAAGTCATGAGGAAGTTTGATGTAAGGATGCATCAATCGAACGCATCTCTTCTCCAAGGTTCAGTTGGGATCTGATCGAGGAACAGTTCTATGCCATCGGTCTCTTGGGCCTTTTTTACATGGCCGCAAATCTCGACCGGTATGTCCCAGCATTGAATCAGGAACAATGGAGAGAATGCCAGGCCGACTTGGGATCCATATAATTACTGACGTTCTCAACATTCAAGGGGCAACATTGGAAACGCCAATGTAGCTGGCATGAGTGACGACCTTGACCTCGTCGGCAATCAATTCGGAACGGCGACAACGCTTCTGTACGCCACCTATGTCCCCTTCGAGACCCCCGTCGCCGTGCTCCTGAAGATTGTCGGTCCGAAACCTCTTCTCTCGGTCTGTGCATTTGCATGGGGTGTCTCATGCCTTGGAATGGGATTCATCCAAAACTGGAAGGGGCTGTACGCCTGTCGGCTTCTCATCGGGGCCTTTGAAGCGGGTTTGATCCCTTGTATCAGTGAGTTATTCTTTGTCCTCTCCTTCACCCATGCTTCCCTGGCTTATGATGTCGGCGTGGCACAGATGTCTACCTCGGCCTCGTCTACAAAAAGGAGGAGCGCGCCAAAAGATCTGCCGTCATCTTCGCCTTCTCAGCCTGCTCCAGCGCCTTTGGCGGCATTCTCGCGTATGGTCTTTGCCAGATCTCCGGGCCCGGCAGCTTCGAGGGCTGGCGCTGGCTGTTTATCGTGGAAGGCCTGTTGACCATTCTGCTGGTGCCGCTCTTCTTCTTCGTTTTCCCGATCTCGCCGCTGGAGGCTTGGTTCCTCAGTCCAGAAGAGAAGCGAATCATGCGAGCAAGATACGACAGCGATCCTCACTGGGGAATTGACGAAGGATTCAATTGGGTGGAAGTTTTCAAGATCTTTAAGGATCCCAAATGGTACTGCTTGTGAGTCACTCGTCACCTGTGTCTTTCTTTTCTCTCTGGGACATGTTGCTGACTGAGTGTGGCATAGCTGGATATACCAGTTCTCCATCAACATCTCTTTGTACTCTTTCACTACCTTCCTTCCCTCGATTATCAGCGGATTGGGCTACCACAACGTCCGGGCCAATCTAATGACCGTCCCGGTCTATTTTTGGGGCATGTTCTGGTGTTTGTTCATCGCCTGGGCTTCGGACAGATCTGGTCTCCGAGGACCCTTTATCGCAGCACATCTTCTGGTCTTGATCATCGGATACTCAATCCTGGTGTCCGTCGACTCTCTTGGTGTTCGATATTTTGGATGTTTCGGTACGCCTCCTCTTCCCCTGTCACGTTCCTCGTCCTTTGAACTAACTCTGCTCTCTTCTCAAAGTCGTTGCCACAGCCATATACGCCAATACTGGTACCTCACTCATGTGGCTCAATGATAATGTATCGCGGCATTTCAAACGGGCCACCATGCTGGGCGCCACAACCACTCTCGCCAACACAGCTGGGGTGGCTGTAGGTCAGATCTTTACCTCGGACACTTCACCTCGGTACCTCAAGGGTATGTATGTTGCAATGGGCTTAGCAGGGGTAGCATTCCTGTCGATGGTGAGCATGATGATCGGAATCAAAATTGTGAATCGTCAGCGAGCCGAGAAGTTGCGGCGGGCAGAGGAGAACGGCACACCCATTGCGCCTCAGCCAGAGTTAGGAGACTCGGATCCTCATTTTGTGTATAAATGGTAGCCTGGCTGTGAGTTGTGAGGGAGATTACAGACATTCCGATCCCAGTTCCAGTCTTTATCTGCCTTCGGGATGCGCTGCGCATTAGTGATTCTCCATGGATCATCAATGGAAATTGTCTCTCATTTTGACTCATGCGTTTGGAAGACAATGATAAGGCATTAGACAAACTGAGTAAGGCCACGCAAGTATCGCGTCCGCATGACTGTGGCACGATTGTCGTCTCCGAGACAAAAGAGGTATTGGCTTCCCAGCTTGCTAGGGGTGAGCACAGGGCAGCGTTACCCTAGCCCCGGAGCGGCGTTGAGCGGCGAGCAGTTTTCCCAAACCTTGCAGTGGCAATGAACATTTCACCCATGCATCGAGGCCCCCTAACGGCATGGCTGCATCGTATGTATTATTGAGGTCATGATTCACCAAGATGTCAAATCCTCCAACTTTACTTGGTACCACATGGCCAAGGTTGATGCGGCTGAAGCTTCTGCATGGCAATACGAGCACCTCGTACAGTATACCAGAAGCAGCAGCTGTTGACGCGAACACGCAACACGCAAGACGCCACACGCAGCAGCCCGTACTCGCAACGCGGTGGCTGCACCAGCCTGCGCCCAAATTATTATTATTGACGATGATGATCTCATTCGGCTGCTACACATTCCGGGGGCTTGATTTTTTATTTCTGCTTCACCCTTCAGTGACCTTCTTGCTTCGACTTTGTTATATAGACTGCAAAACATGACACTCGTTTGATTTTCAATTGTCACCATCTCACTCTCGTTGACTCTTTCATCCGTCTTCTACCTTTCTCCTTTGTCAGCTCTGCTCGTGTTGACAAACGCATCCGCTAGAAACCCCTCAAAAATGATTGTGAAAGCAAAGACAGAGAAAGCGCCGGAGGAAGAGCATGGCTATGAATTTGGAGGGCCGTAAGTTCTTCCTGCGATCCGCTGCCAACTTGAACTTGATTGTCCTAACATCTGTGCAGTCTAGGAGCAGCTGCTATAGTCTTCGGCTTGCCCATCCTCGTCTATGCCTCCATCTTCCTATGCAACGATGTCTCGGGCTGCCCTGCACCTGCCTTACTGGATCCAAGGACTTTGACACTTGAGAAATTGAAGAAACAGACGGCATGGCCTGCGGACGGGGTCTTGGGCTTGTTCGACTTGAATGTCACTTTATGGGTGCTGGCATACTATGCTCTCAGCGTGGCTCTACAATTGTTTCTGCCAGGTCAAGAGATGGATGGTACAATCCTGGGCACGGGAGGACGGCATCACTACAAATTCAACGCCTTCAACTCTGCGGTTCTCATCCTTGCCGGTCTGGCCATTGGCACTGCTGTACAAGGTGCCCACTTCGTGGTTTGGACCTTCATCTGGGACAACCTTCCCCAACTTGCCACGGCAAATATCCTCGTTTCCTCTGCCCAGGCAATCTATGTCTATCTGCGCTCCTTCAGCGTTCCTCACCCAGGTCAACCAAACCCTGAGAATAGGGAGCTCGCAAAGGGAGGGCACACTGGGAACATGATCTACGACTTCTTCATTGGCCGGGAGCTGAACCCACGCGTCACCGTTCCGCGCTGGATCCCCGTCGCAGGCGGTCAGGTGATTGACATCAAGGTCTTCAATGAGATGAGACCAGGCTTGCTGGGTTGGATCATTCTCGACCTTGCATTCATTGCCCATCAGTACCAGGCGCATGGCTTCATTAGCGACTCCATCATCCTCATCACCGCTTTCCAATCGTTATATGTCTTCGACGCTCTCTACATGGAGCCGGCCATTCTGACCACTATTGACGTGATCACCGATGGTTTCGGATTTATGCTTGCTTTCGGCGATGTGGCTTGGGTTCCATTCATTTACAGTTTGCAAGTACGGTATCTGGCTGTCTATCCGTTGAAGCTTGGAATAAGCGGCATCGCTGGCGTTCTGGGCGTTGCAGGCCTGGGGTACTACATCTTTCGAGGCGCAAACAACGAAAAGAACCGATTCCGGACAAATCCCAAGGACCCTCAGGTGTCACACCTCGAAACCATGACAACCGAGTCCGGCTCCAAGCTTCTAGTCTCTGGTTGGTGGGGTCGTGCGCGACATATCAATTACTTCGGTGACTGGTTCATGTCTTGGAGCTACTGTCTCCCTACCGGTGTGGCGGGATACGTCATCAACAACTACCAGAATCCTGTCACTGGGCAGGTAACCAGGGAGGTGGTGCAGGGAGATGCCCGCGGCTGGGGAATGATCTTTACATATTTCTATGTCATATACTTTGGCGTTTTACTGGTGCATAGAGAAATGAGGGACGAAGAGAAGTGCAGGAGGAAGTATGGAAAAGACTGGAAGCGCTACTGCCAGCGCGTCAGGTGGAGGATCATTCCGGGCATCTACTAGGGAGATGCAAAGATGCGCTCGAATTGTCGGAAAATTCTCCATTAAGTCTCCAGTCCGCTCACGCTCACCAACTATGTCCAATCGCCTAGGTCTGCTTTGAGCTTGTCCAGTTCTTTCAATCGGATAAAACTACCATCACGTCCAAGACAAGCCTCCACTCAAGTGCACCGTCGAAAGCATGGGCCATTCGATCTCATCGTTGGGGAAGGATGTTCTTGGCTGTCTCCAGATCAACAAAGCCAGAATATCCATGTGCCTAAGGCGAGGCTGGGAGACTCTTCTCCGACCTACAGTGGCCTGGACTCTCGTCTCCAGGCATATCCAGCTTGCTCCAACTTCACTCTCGTATTCTGTGGTCAGGAGGACCTTCAACGTTGCATGGGGTGCCACTCTTGAGAGCGATGAGCGCCTATCGTTTCTGGCCACGAGGAGAGCTGGATGCATGATCACCCCAGCAGTGGACGACACCCTGCCTGATCATCCTGCTCTGCCAGTACAGTGGGACAAGCCCGGTCCCCTTCGAAGCTTTTGTTCTCCAATGTAAGGGCTAGATCATGGAAGACTCCAGGTTTCCCAAGCTGGCCCTAGGCAAGGCAAGCCGAGAAAGCGTGATCGTGGAATCTAACCATGAACAGACAATGGATTGGTCCAATGAGGAAAGGTGGGGTAGAGATATTCCCCAGATCTTGTGGGTTGCAGCCCCCGGATTCTAAACGAGGCTCTCTCCACTCCGCCCCAAATTCTTGATATACAGTCTCATCCGGCAGCTTGGGTTTGATATAGAAAGCATATTGAATAGCTTCTCAAACGGCTGGAGTTGCAGTGCTACCACCCTCAAGTCAGTGCAAAAGATCTACAGCAACAATGGGGCTCGGTGTTCTCGAGGCGAACACCACTGCACATGTTCCAGGAACTGTCCTGCTGGACCAACAAGCTGCCCATTCAGAGCAGCAGACTGGTCGTTTGAAGCATGGTACAGGGAGGAATGCGAATATTGTTTTAGCACCGCAGCCATCTGAGGATCCGAATGATCCATTGAACTGGTCATCACTCAAGAAGCATATTGTTCTGGCCATCATTTTCTTTGGGGTGATCATACACGGTGTTGTACCAGTAGGTGGCGGTGAGGCGCGCAAACATGCGGCTTTGGCTGACAAGCTGTGCAGGGACCGATCCTCAATGCTGGCATCATCCAGATCTCTCTGGATCTCAAGCACTCTCCCACCGATGTAGCCAAACTCTCGGGTTATTCTCTCCTCGCGACAGGGGCCATGGGTCCGTTTGCCTCTGCCTTGGGCCGAAAGTACGGCAAACGCCCCATGTACGTGTTCTCATCCTTGATCGGTACCATTGGAATCATCGTCTCCGAAGTGGCGTCTGGCTACAATACGCTCCTGGCTGGTCGGGTTCTTCAAGGAATAGGTATCGCTGCATACGAGTCTCTTGCTGTTGCATCCATCGGAGACATGTTCTTCGTCCACGAGAGAGGTCCGAGAGTTGCCATTATCATCTTTCTGTTGGCTGCGATATCCAACGGAATCTCGATTATTGCTGGCGTCATCACTGATCACCTTGGCTGGCATTATAACTTCCACATCTACATACCTTTTGCGGCGGTCCAGACAATTCTGGTCATCCTTTACTGTCCCGAGACGATGTATCGACGAAAAGCCATATACGAAATTGACACGGCGGGCTCTGAGGAAAACCTAGAGAAACTAGCAAGCGTGGAAGCACGAGCTGTGGATCACCTCGAGGGGAATGGCAATGCAACCACGATCGATGCAAATACCGACCTGGAGAAATCCATGACTAACACCACCCAGACGTCCGTTGATTCTGTACCACCGCCAAAGACGTTCGTCCAACAACTTGCCCTTTACAATGGCACCTTTGTGGATGATTCCGTCATCAAGATGGCCATTGCCTCAGTTGCAATTCTGCTCAACCTGGGAGCGCTCTATCAAGTTCTGATGACAGGTGTCATTATTGCTTGGTATGTGGCCGTGGCAATTCTGTCAGGTGTCATCTTCGCCTCGCCTCCCTACCTTATGTCCTCCGCCTCTGTCGGGTACATGTCTGCAGGGCCGTTCATTGGCGGGTTGCTGGGTGCAGTCTTTTCATTCGTGGTCTCGGAGCCCCTCGTCAAGACGATGTCGCGTCGGAACAACGGTGTCTATGAACCGGAATTCGCGCTGCTCCCTGTCAGTCTTGGCGGAGTATGCTCCGTTGCCGGTCTGGTTGGCTGGGCCTACGCCGTCAAGAACTTCGAAAACATCTACCTGATCTGCTTCATATGGGGAATCATTCTGTTTGGAATGACCATAGTTGCTAGTTTTGCGACACAGTGGGCTCTCGACGCATATCGCCAAAACAGCACAGAATTGTTTATTATGAATATGTGAGTTTTCCGCTATTTGCCTTGATGGAACATCTATTGTAAGGGAGCCAGCTAACGCTCAAGCAACAGGGTATTTAAGAACTTCTTCTTCTATGGGTAAGTCTTTTGCCTCTTTCCGTGCCAATGATAATCCCCTGTACTGACTGGTGGCAGGCTTACAAACTATGTGATCGACTGGTATACGAACCATGGACCTGTTGATATGGCAGGAACTATGGCAGGGATTACGGGATTCTTATGCCTGCTTGGGATACCGATGTACATCTTTGGGAAGAAGTACCGATATTTCTGGCACAAGCATAATGCGCTGAAGTGGTTACACCTGGAAACGGACCATGCTGGGGCTGAAGGGGGAATGTGAGGATAGGAATAAGCGGTCCGGTGGCAAAATGGACGTGTGCTGCTTCTCTCGACCTGTTGATCTCGCAATCCGAGGGGCTACGGGCCAAGGCTCTCCACATGACGGGCTGCGCAAGGCTGCGCTACACCGCTCTTAGCGGTTTGGAGAAAACAGGACGTGGTCTGGGGGGCTTTGGACTCCCCGGCATTTATTCTATCCCCGAAATTCGCGTGCCTAGGCTAGGTCCTTTATTTCTAGTAATAGTGCTGCTTCTGGGCGAGGGGGGCACGTATTGCTCCATCTTGAGCGGAAACATGTGGGGTTGATCCTCATTCGTCAGTTGAAGACGAAAAGGATGGCCGCTTCAAGATGATACTGTGCCCTTTCGATCTCGTCTGGATGACTGCCCAGGTCCTTCCCATTCAAGAAGGACTACGGGGTACCAACAGGAGTCCTAATCCTTCCCGAGTTGAATACTCTGAACTTCAATTTCTCCGAGTAATTCTATCCTCCCCAGGATCTCCAGGAAAACCATGGACCCAACAAAATTTGGCGTCTCGTCCATCCCCCTGAACCACGCCCCGTACGGGCCCATCACGGATGAGAAGCTCAAAGGCTTGAACCAGGGCAAGGTTGCCCTCGTCACGGGCGGTGCGAGAGGAATTGGACGGGCGATATCCGAGAAACTGGCCCTCTCGGGCGCCAACGTCGCGATCCTAGACCGTCTCGAGCACGAACTCGCTGAAAGCAAGGCCCGGTGCGAGATGTACGGTGTCAAGGTTAAGACTTATGTGGTGGATGTCACGGACGTGGGCGGGCTGAGGGGCGTCTTGAAGCAAGCGGAGGAGGACTTGGGGCCGATTGAGTGAGTTGAGTCCTTCTTGCCATCCTCGGCATTTTTTCTTGAAATGGATCCCCTGGAAGTGTATGGAATGTTTTTAGGGAGGACGAGGGAGGACACTGGAATTGACGTTCTGGGGGCAGCATCCTGGTGAACAACGCCGGAGTATCGCCTGGAAGACCACAATGGATGGAAAGCTTTGAGGATTTCTGGAGGACCATCGAGATCAACTTCAAGAGCGTACGTATTTTCCCCCAAACAGTTATTCCCAGATTACAACAGAAGAGTTTCTATTGCAAAAGCCTTGGGGGATAATGGGCTGAACTGACTGACTGACACCAATGACACACTTTCGTCAATGAATCATGCAGGCAATGGTCACAACCTGGGCTCTTCTGCCCCAGCTCCGCGAGCGGAAATCCGGCGTCATCATCAACATTGCATCTCGGGCAGCCACGGTCGACTTCCCCTTTGCCATCGGGTACAATTCCTCAAAGGCGGCCGTCGCCCGCGCGACCTCGACCTTGCAGGAAGAAATCGAACTTGACGGCCTGGGCGACGGGATTCAGATGTATGCGCTGCACCCTGGAGGCGTGCCCACGGCCATGTCAAAGTGTAAGCGGCTCCAATTCTTCCATCCCTTTTCCGTGCCACGTCGAGGCTGTGTCCGCCCGTCACGGTACATGAACCACACATACATACGTTGCATTTGGTAAAGAAGAGAGATATATCATGGCTGACAAGCTGACCTGGTTGGTTACAAAAAACAGCCGAAGTCCGCATGGACCTCCTCGGAAAGTACCCCTCTCTCACGCAGCACGGGACGGACTTCCAGGCCCTGTTCAAGGACCCGCCGGAGCTGTGCGGCGCCACTTGTGCTTACCTGGCGGCGGGCAAGGCGAAGGAGTTGAGAGGCCTGTACTGGGACTGTAGGCAGGATATTGAGCGGGTGGTCGGCTACGGGAGGGAGAGGCTGATGAAAGAAGGCAAGTACGTGCTCAGGATGGATTTCATTGACGGCTATCAGAACGAGCCGTAGGGAGATTGCAGGAGGGCAAAAAATCTAGGAAGGGCTCAAACAAAAAACACCATGTTGATTGATGTTTTCTATATTATGATAGCCCCCTTGGCCAGTTTCAGCTGAACTTCCGCCGAAAACCTCAAGCGGAGGGTGAACACCATATCTAGATCTTCGAGTTTCTTCTCTTCTGCCAAACCCTTCTCTACAATCGAGCCCGGAAATTCGACCTCTCCCCGGTCTCTTTCTCCACCCACTCCTTCAGCACATTCCGCATGATCTTCTGGTTCAGATTCCTGGGTATCTCGTCCACGAACCTGACCCCTCCCCTCAATCTCTTGTAGTTGCTCACCCTCGGGTTCAAAAAGTCGTGGATATCCTTCTCGGACAGCCTTGCGGCCTGCGCTGACCGCACGACGTACGCTCGTGGGAGGTCATTGCCCTGACCGTCGGGCACTCCGATGACCCCGACGTCCGAGATGCCCGGTAACTGGCCCAAGATGGACTCGACTTCGGTGGGACTCACTTGAAAGGATTTGTACTTGAGCAGTTCCTTGGAACGGCCCACGATGAACAGCTTGCCGTCTCGATTGAAGGAGGCAATGTCACCGGTCCGAAACCAGCCGTCGGGAGTGTATGCGGCGCGGGTGGCTTCGGGGTTGTTGAAGTATTCTTTGATGATGTTTGGTCCTAGAAGCGGTCAATTTTGGAACGAATTTGACGATATGAATATGACAAAGGCCTTTGTTGTTCGCTTACCTTTGACGCACAGCTCTCCTGGCTCGTTATAGCCCAGCTTCTTCCCATCAGGACTGATGATAACAGCTTGGATATTGGGCAACAATCTCCCCGAGCTTCCCTCCTTGTCCACCTCTGTGACATTCGGCTGTGACGCCGCAGTGACCGTCTCGGTCATGCCCCAGTTCACCCGCAACACCACGCCATCAGGTAACATGTCGTGGACCTTCAGCTGCAGCGGCAACGGCAGCGGCGACGCACCACTCATTGCGAACCTGATGGACGCTACATCTTCCCTCGTGCACTCCTGGACCACGCGGTTCCAGATCGCCGGCACGATGAAACAGGCCGACAGCTGAAACTTCTTGATGGCTGACATGAGCGTGGGGAAGTCGTACTTGGGGAACATGTACACCTGCATGCCGCATTGCAGGCTCATCATGTTCTGCACGAAGATGCCCACCGCGACGGCGTTTTGCATCACCCCCGGCATGCGCAGGTAGATGCCGTCTGAGATGGCCTTTTTGGCGAAGTGGTCGAAATGGAAGGCCATTTGGCAGAGGTTGGCCACGATGTTGGCGTGGGTGATCACAACGCCTGGTAGGGTCACAGATGGAGTTAATTAAACTAAAACGCCAGTGTTGTTCAGAGGGGTCTAGTCTACTCACCTTTTGGATTGCCCGTCGTGCCGCTGGAATAGACCAGACAAGCCGTCGCCCTTTCGAGCACCGCTGGATCCGTGACCTTCTGCCACTCCAGCCTCCTGTCGCTGATGATCGACTTGCCACTCCTGGCATCCACAATGTCCAACGTCTCGGACAGCATCATGACAAGCCGAACACTTTCAACCCCGGACTGCGCGATGGCCTCGTCAGCGGCCTTCCTCGTCTGCGGCGAACAGATCAAGATTTTCGGTCCGCTCAACCGGATCTGTCTCGCGAGCTCAAACGCCGTCGCCGTCACGGAACAGGTCGCGTGGACGCCGCCCGCGCACAGCACGCCGAGGTTGTTGGGCGCGACCATGACTTGGTTCTCGACGTACGAGAGCACGATATCCCTACCGGGGCCATCTGTGCCGATGCCAAGATCTCGATAGCCCTGCCCGATGCGGTGCGTGAGGTCGCGGGCTTTGGCCAGCGTGACGTGGTTGTTGTCTGGGTTGGCCGGGTTGATCCATATGGGGTCGTCGTCCTTGAATGGGGTGCGGGAGAAGAGGAATGTGAGTAGGTCGATGGAGGGGATGTCGACGTCGTACTCGGACTCGAAGATCATGTTGCACGGGGGAGTTTCGAAGTACCGATCTTTTGGTATTTTGCTGCTGCTGGCTCAGGATCGGCCCTTCTTTGTCGTTGCTGAAGACGACTATCTATATCTATGACAACTCGGATCAGACACGTGCTCTCTCTATGGGACCATCCAGGCAGAGAAATATACCACCAGACCATCTACTCCCGTTCAACTTTCCCAGACCATCTCAGACTGGCTCCGGCACTGAGAGCCCCTCTCAGCAAATAACCACCTAGATGTACCTCGTACTCCATCCTTGCTACGCAGGATGTTCACATACCCCAGAAAAGCTCCAAAATCGGGGAAATGTGGAGTAATGAAAAGCGTGGGGCTCCATCGAACCATTGCCAGCCTTGCCATAAGGGTGGGAAAGGGGGGTACATACCTTCCCTCGGTCCACAGCTTCGATCCAGTCCCTGGAGTTCAGTTGGAAACGAGACCATTGGAAAGCTCAGCGTCGGGGCTCGCCAGCGCCCATACGGTTGGAAGACTGACTGATTTTGAAGACTCATGACTCCTGCAAGGAATTTCGCCAAATCATCCTAGCAACTTGTCCTCGAACGAACTATTCTCGAGCCGGTCTGCTGTACGGATTTTCAACTCTTTTGAACTCCCCTCGCCGCTTTGCAAGGGAAATCCATATAGAAGTCACCATCCAAGCACCAGGCTAGGCGAGTTGAATCAACCGCAGGTAGTCTTCTCTGACGACGCTTACTGGGGTCGTCAACATACGAAGGGAAGCCTGGTTGGTTTCAGGTTGTCAAAGGATAGACCCGGCGTCACTTTTCTTGGAGAGTGCGAAGATGTCGTCGGACGCGCCGTTGAAAGGAATAAAAGGTGAGCGACACCCCTTTGACGAGCGGATTCAGGGCCGAAAAATAACATACATTATCGTCGTCATCATTATCATCATCATCAACTAACTGGAGCAACTCCGTATGAATATAGTCCTGGAACTTGGCGGGTTGGCCCCGAGTCCATTTGCAGGGTTCGTCAAAGGAATCCCACCCCCTTTTTCTGTTTGTGTGAAGAACTCTTTACAAATCCCAACCTAAACCCACAAATACAAAGTCTCTTCCCCCTCCAATTTCTGACAGTGCCGCTTCTGAAAGGCTCATCCTCGCCGACTACGGCGCCGACGTCGTCCGCGTCGACCGGCCCTTCGAAGTCTTCGGCCCGCCACGCGACACACTATGCCGACGCAAGCGCTCGGTCGTGATCGACCTGAAGCACTCGGGTTCGCGGCTCGCGTTCCTCGAACTGGTCAAGGCCGCCGACGTGCTGATCGACCCGTACCGACCGGGCGTGATGGCTCGACTGGGTCTTGGGGAGGAGACGCTGCGCAAACTCAACCCGGGACTCATCTACGCGCACCTGTACGGGTTCCGGCCCGATGGGATGTACGGGCGACGTGCGGGGCATGATATCAATTACCTCGCGCTCTCGGGGGTGTTGTCGTTGTTGGGCCGTAAGGAGGAGGTTCCCGCGCCGCCGGCTAATATCCTGGGTGATTTCGCGGGTGGGGGGCTCGTTTGTGTCGTGGGCATACTGCTGGCGCTGATACATCGCAATAGCAGCCAGAAGAGGTCGCAGGAGGGGGGGAGTCATGGCCAGGGACAGGGACAGGGACAGGGACAGGTGGTCACGGCCAACATGGTCGACGGCACCGCGTACCTAGCGACCTTCATGCGGCAGCAGCAGGGCCACCCGAACAACGACCTCCCTCGGGGCGAGAACCTGCTCGACGGCGCCGCCCCGTTCTACGAGGTCTACCGCACGCGCGACGACCGCTTCGTCGCCGTCGGCGCCCAGGAGCCGCAGTTCTACGCGAACCTGCTTGCCGGGCTGGGCCTACGACACGGTGAGGACGGCAATGGAGGACGGCGCGCGTTACCCGCGCAATGGGACCGTGCCGCGTGGCCGAGGATGAAGGCGCTGTTCGCGCGCCTGTTCGCGCAGAAGACGCTGGACGAGTGGCGCGCCGTGTTTGACCATGTCGACGCCTGTGTGACGCCCGTGCTGAATATGGATGAGACCGAGATGCCGTTCCGCCCGCTCGTCGAGCTGTCTGGCTCGCCTAGCCTGGACGTCGAAGTTCAAGAGTCGTATCCTGAATTGAAGAAAGGTGAGGGGAGTGAAGATGTCCTGCGCGATTGGATATCCCGGGAGGAGGTCAGAGGGTCGATGCATGTAGATCCCTCTTCGAAGCTTCTTATTATGAAGATGGAGAGAGATGTGAAGTTATAAAAAATAGAGGTCCCTTGACCAGACTGGTTTACTACCCTGGCTACCTGTCTATGGTGGAATAGTGCTGATTTTCATTCTTCTTCTCTTCTCTTCTCTTCTCTTCTCTTTCATCCCTTCGCAAGGATCACAGAAAAGAAAACCAGCCCCACTTGCGTCGGCTAAGGGACATTCTCCATCGTCAACTTGGTCTCGCCGTCATACGCGCAGAGCTCCTTCCTGGCCCTGACCGCCTCGGAGCGGATAATGTCCTCAATGGCCTTTGAGCGCGGGATGAAGCGCGCCTTGAAGGGTTCCGGGCGCATGTTCTCGCTCTTGGTATAGGCGAAGATGTCGAGTTTGACTTCGTTTCCCTGCAAGAACACATGTTAGCGAGGAATTGCTCGGGGACGCGGAAAAGCCAAAAAGAAGGAAAGGACATCACGACACTCACATTCTCGTCCAGCCCGGGCTTAAAGTCAAAAGCCCAGAGCAGCGTCGCAATCGTCAGGAACAGGCCCTGCTCGGCCAGCGGCTGTCCGCTGCACTGCCGGCGGCCCCAGCCAAACGCATTGTGGCCCTGCTTGTTAGGATAGGGTCGTTGCTCGGGACCCCCGAGATAGCGCTCCGGCCGAAAATTGTCTGGTTCGGGGAACTCTCGTGGATGTCGATGGATGGCCCAGACATTACCCGTGATGGGCGTGCCCTTGGGGATTTTGTACCCGCGGTACTCGTCGTCCTGGATGGGCGCGTGCGGGATCCCGCCCAGGATGGTGACGGTCCGCCACCGAAGGGTTTCGTTGACGACGGCCTTGACATACGGCAGGGACGACTCGTCGCTCCAGTCCGGCACGCGATCCTGGCCGACTACTCGGTCCAGCTCCTCTTGCGCCTTCTTCAGCTTGTCCGGGAAGACGCACATGGCCAGGATGAACGAGATGATGGTGCCACTGGTTGTGTCGACGCCGCCGCCAATGAGATTCGACGTGAGACTGGATATCTCCTCGTCGGCAATGTGGCTCTGCTCCTGCTCGCGGAAGAGGCGTTTGGCAAAGTTGTCTTCGGCCGCCTGGGCACCCTCTTTGGACAATGCCACGAAGTATCTAACAATCTCTATTAGCCAGACATCTGCCATGGTCGAGTCTTATAATTTGCCTTTGCATATGTTTTGCAAATGTGAGCATCTTGCTCGGCATCGGGTAGATCCAGTTGAGCCATTGTGGCAGTTTGGCCAGAAACGGTATCGACTCGACAATGAATAGGCCTGGAATGATCAAGTCGACCCCTTCCATGGACTTGAGCGCCATTTGAGCAACGTAGTCGTTGATCTTGTCGATGCGGCGGCCCCAGCCGATGATGGAGACAATCGAGCACGAATACCTCTCGATGCTCATGACAAAGTCATCGGGTTTGTCTAGCAGGTCACGGACCAGAACCTTGGACTCATTGGCCTGGATGGCGCGCCACGGTCTTATGGCTTGTGAGCCGGTTGCTGAGTGCTGGTCGAGAATGAGTTTTGGCCTCAACAGGAGACAAAGTCTGACATACCATGAGTCGACGATGGAGGCGCCATTTGTCCCCGTATACAAGACACACCTGGTTACTCTCTGTTGCGTTGATCATATCGCCCATGGCAATCATATGCGGTCGAGAAGAATAAATGTTTGCTCGCTTGTCAAGCAAGTCGGATATTGTCCAGATGTCGTTACACATGATGGTCGGCCTGTGGCCCTGCCAGATGGTGATCATGGGATCTTTGTAGTATTCCGACCATTTCTCAAAGTCGATCCATGGCTTGACTTTGGGGATCTGGAAGAAATTGCCAAAGAGCGGCAGGGGAAAGGGGCCAGGGGGCAGCTTTTGACGCAGCCGAAGAACTCGAACATAGTCAACAAGGATGAATATCACAGGCACGGAAATGACACCGGCGAAGACAACCAAGAGGAGTCTGAAGGGATCAAAGGCAAGCTCTATTGAGCCCCGAGCACTCGACAGATTCTGGAGGACGCCCATTTTGCTTGTCTGATTTCAACAACGATCCGGACACGTCGGGAAGAGGCCTCATCTTGTCCTCTCCAGCCTTGAGATATAGAGCACCATAAGTAGAAACAGACGCCATAAGGTCCCACATGGCATCCTGCTGGAGGATCCTACGAGACAGCGCAGACAGCATAGACTCCCACATGGATCTTTGGATCTCCATGTGGAGAAGGGATTCTTTATCCTTCAGTCAACGCCTTTGACCTGTTGGTGGAGAGGCTTGCGGGGTTGTCGACGAATCTCCAAGCGTAGCGAAGCCGGGATCCGGGGTATGATCCGTCCTCTTCGTGCCCTAGCTGTCGGCACTTGGGTTGAGTGACCTTTGGCGCTTCCCGACATCTGTTATTGATATAATGGCAGGGATAATCTTGGGGACTCCTCATGGACTTTAACATCAGTCAGAGAAACTCGGATCCTCCCGTCAAGCGAGCTGTGAACAAGCATCCAACAGGGCTATGGCAAAAATGCAAGGCCTCCTCTCTGCTTATGGTGCCTCCCTCTCACCGACAATCCTGATTGGGAGTCTGGTGGGCCTATGGATCGTGTACAATGTGTTTACCGTGCTCCGTGATCCGTTGAGATCAGTCCCAGGCCCTTTTCTGGCCAGGTTCACAAGGCTGTGGTATTTGAGAGAAGTATACCGTCACCAAGCTTGAGGTGTAGGCTGTCGATCCTGACATGGGCCAGGTGGCTCGGGGCCATTTCGAGAAGACGAACATTGCGCTCCATAAGAAATATGGTACTGGATTCCCAACACAACCAATAGCCAAGGGTCCGCGCTGTCGTTCCCTGAGTTGACCTCTGGCCAGGACCCATTGTGCGCATTGCGCCCAACTACTATTCCATTGACGATGCTGAGGCCATCAAGACCATCTATGGTCATGGCTCAAACTTTGTCAAAGGGAAATGGTACATCGCTTCCAACAACCCCAAGAACAAGCATCCGGATCTTTTCACCGATCTCAATCCTGAAACGCATGCCGTCAATAGACGCAATGTCGCCTCACTGTATTCGATGACGAGTTTAGTCGCCATGGAGCCAAATGCTGTGGCGTGCGCCGACATCCTAGTCAGGAAACTCACCGAGTTTGCAGAATCCCATACCGCTATTAATCTGCAAGTCTGGCTGCAATATTGTTAGTAACGGCTCCAACCTCAGACTTCTCCATGAACGACCCCCTGCTGACGGCGACGTAGACGCTTTTGATACCATAGCGCTTATAACAGTAGGTTACGCTTCCAAGGTTCGCTCGGCCTTGCCTTCGAGGGTTGACATGTCTCCAGCTCAGCAAAAGATTTGGCTTCCTCGACACCGGCAAAGATAACGGTAGCATGATCGCCGCCTTGCACTCTTACCTTCTTTACCTCTCCAAAGTAGGCGTGTACCATGAGTGGCACTATTTACTCAACTGGATCTTGTCCCTGTTACCCAATGGTGGGATGCACTACATGGGTTCGTTCATGCAACAACAAGTTCTGGAAGGCCAGAAGCAGAAGTCCAAGCGCATTCTGGAGAAAGACGAGTCGAAGCCAACCGACGACTTTCTGACCAAGCTGTTGAGGATGCACGCCCTGCAGCCGGACAGGTTCCCAATGGAATCCGTGTTTTCGACGTGCGGGACGAATATTGGTGCCGGGTCGGATACCACGTCGGTCAGCCTGGCGGGGATTTTGTATCATTTGATCAAGGCACCTGCCACGTTGGAAAAGGTAAGTTGTGAACAGAGTTGCATTGGTTTCGACAACCATCCGGAGTGCCGACAAGATGTTGGAGGCGATGAAAGACCGAATGAGCTGACTCGGCCTAGCTGCGACACGAGCTCGACCAGGCCATTGAAGAGCGCGGCTCAAACGACATTCTTTCCTTCCAAGAAGCTCAGAAACTGCCCTATCTTCAAGCTGTCATCAAAGAAGGACTGCGCTGTCATCCAGCGACTGGTCTACCCATGGTCCGCGTTGTTCCAAAAGGCGGCGCCAAAATCGCTGGGAAGTATTTCCCCGAGAAGGTCAGACTCCATCCTCTGCCAGCGATGCTCAGGATAAGGACTATCATAGCAGTTATGCTGATACTTGCGTGACAGATTGAGGTCGGCGTGAACAGCTGGGTCACACACGCCAACAAGAACATCTTTGGCCCCGACGCTGAAGAATTCAGGCCTGAACGATGGCTCGAGTCTCCAGAGAGAGCTGCAGAGATGAATCGGTATATCCTCACAGTAAGCAAATCGGTCAGCTATCCTCCACTGTCTTACTTGTGTTCTGATATGGTGTACGTAGTTTGGAGCCGGTTCCCGTACCTGCATCGGCAAGAACATCAGCCTTCTCGAAATCTCCATCTTGATCCCCGAACTGGTGAGGAGATTCGACTTCACCCTTGTGGATCCAAACAGGCCGCTGGAGATGGAAAATGTCTGGTTCGTCAAGCAGAAGAACTTGGACTGTTATGTGAGTTTGAGGAAGGAGCATTGAGAGCAGGGAGGTTAAGAAAGCGTGCGGCTGAAGTGGGTGCCCTATCAGCTAGCTGCCTAGACGATGCTTTCATCAACCAGAGAAGATTGTACAGCAGAAGTGAGTCAGGACTGTGGAGAAGGAACACCTGCCTCTGGCTCCTTAGGGAACGCAGTCCAGGACATAGCAGGCGTCGAAATGAAGTTTTTCCGCATCCCCCACTTGCCGAGCTATCGCTTGGACTGCTTGTCTGTGGCATGGAAGCCATAGTAGCTGTGCATCACCTGTATCACTTCTCGGAGTTCAAGGTCTCGATATAACCGTTCGATGATAGGACGATGCTTCCCCCATGTGTCTTCAGGGATCCGAGGGGTTCTGGGAGCTCGTGCAGTTGACCGTGCGGTGGCCATCAGGCTGAATGCGCACAACCTACCAAAGCGAGGGAAGAGAGTTTAGAGCAAAATTTCAGGATTCACCATGGGGTAATCCGATGCGCAGAAGTTTCTGTTGGAGGACTCGATCCGGTCGACCTTGAAGAAAAGAAAGATAGACTGCATTTCACCGAAGTTGCAATCCATCCATTCCTTGTCAGTATTTCCACGAGAACAAAAGTTGCCGAACTTGTGTGCCATCTGCAGATGCCAGCTGGAGTGCCTCAGCAAGCGGGGGAGGAGCTGCAGCATCTGACAAGACCAGGGGAGCTGGGTAGCCTGGGGTGCCTGGATGCTGACGACCCTGCGAGAAGCTGGCGAACCTATCGGAAGGAGGCCGTGCAATCCCTGAGGCGCCGCGAATTGCAACTTTGGTATCCCCAGGCCGTTGAGATATGTACTCGTACTCGGTGGGTAGGCAGCAGTCATTAGCCGTGGCCAGAAAGTTGCTGCCATGGAGGTTGAGGGGTCGGCTTTAAATGTTAATGCATGCGCTCTGCGTACCTAGAGTACGCGTGAGAAGCCGACGCCGACCCTTCTTCGCAAATCGGGTGCGTCAACTGGCTGTAATTCTTTTCCATTTGTTGCTTCATGCTTGGGTTGACCGAGACAGGCTTGACTACTGGTCCAAGGACGCAGGCCCAAGGTCACAGGTCGGGGCCAAAAACACCTTGCCAGCCTATCAGTACCGTAGCACAGCCTCCCTGGCCAATGGATGACCCTGTAGTGGTGACAGGGGGTCCCAAATCGTTCGAACAAAAGTCGTTGACATGGATATATAGACCTGAGCTCCAATGCTTGAAGAGATGCTCTTCCCAGCATCAACAGCTTTCACCACGGTTATAAGAGATCGCAGAGACCACGCATCAATTCACAAATACCATTTCCTCCACCTTCTCTTGTCCAGCAAAGTTCCCTGAAGACCTGAACAAATTCCTCACGCCTTGACCGAATTCAGCCTTGCAGAACGCCCCCCAAGCAATTCGAAACAACCCGTGCTCCTCTGAGGTCACCGCCACGCTCAAAGCATCCACCATGGGTCTCGGAGCCGACGTCACCGTGTCCATTGTGTTTGGCGTCTTCATGGCCATCATAGCCCTTGTGGGATTGTGGCAGGTGGCACACTACGCCGCACGTGGTCTTCGAAGTGAGTGCGACGCCAATAGAAGTTGACGGGGGGGGGGGGGGGGCGGTCCAACTAACCACAGTATGTACCTAGCCAATGACCCTCGAGTCAACAGCTTTGAACTGGAGGCATAAGACCGACGGCGGCGGCATTGTACAACATTACCATTCCGTCGACGTCAGTAAAGAATGAGAGCGCCGTCTTCATCAGGGATCAAGCCAAGGTGTCTGCGGTGGTGACGGAGCATTGGTGTCGAGGTGTTTGGACATGTACAAGGTACTAGGTACTCGGGACTGGGTTCAGTTATGCTTTCCGCCAAGGGCAATCCCCGTTCACCCACCCGTCGAAGGGTGGATTCTAAGGTATCAACAGCAAGGTGCTCGTGGTTTTCGATCCAACATGTTAGCAAACAATTGAGTGGCAAAGTATCCAAGCGAGTCGAGATAGCTGCTATACTAGACAGAGGCCTGTTCAGGCCATGTTGCGCTCAGCCTATCAGGAACTCAGGTCAAAACTCCAGTAGAAGTCAAAAGTTCTTCGATTGGGCATCTGCTTAGAACTGTCAGATAACATTAAAATAGACACTATCCGTTTGATGCTGTGTAATTTCGTGACAAGGTCGTCAATACCAAGATATTTCCCGTCTTGATGATTTTGTGTACTTTCTCCCGAACCCCAGATTCGACTACCCGGGCACATGCTGGGCAGGGGGCCAGCCAAAGGAAAATGTCTGTACAATGACCCGCCTCTTCAATCATATTTTGCCTCAATCTCCCTGCCACGGTCACCATTTCTTTGCGTCCTGCCGAACTGCTGTATCTATGCTCCGTACTCCTTGTCATGAACGAAACTGCCCCGGCTCCTTGTGCTCCTGCTCCTCCGTCCTCGGAACTTGAACCCTCGTCGCGTGCTTGTTCTGGGCTCGCGGCGGGAGGATCCGCCCATGCAGAAGAGAATGGTGCAAATGAGGAAGCAGACAAAGGCAGCCCATTCGAACCCAAAGGCGTATTTTCCAATGTCGGAAGATTGACCGTTGTTCCGGAAGTTGTTGCGCCCTTTAACATATGCGGCACTGTTGAGTCGTTAGCACGCTGGCGCATGGCCTTACAACATATGTCAACTCACGTCATAAGGGACACCTGGATTGCCTGGAAAACCATGGCTATCATGGTCAAGAGACCACTGAGATAGGAGCCCAGTCTCGTGCACAAGGACAGTAAGCCAGTGAACAAGGCGCAGACACCGAAGAACAGGGCCATGAGCATGAAAGCGAACATGAAGCGAGTCATGTAGAAGTAGTAGCCATGGCGGTGGACGAAGTTCTGAGGGACGTTCACTGTAGTGTCAAAGGTCCGATGAGACGCAGGGTCAAGTGGGAAGGCTGGATGGACATGGGAATAGGGTTGGTTGCCGCAGTGCGTGCGTCCATTTAAAACACCGCACACGTTCCAGTATGACCATCTGGACACGGCCGGAGCTCCTGGTATGTTCGCAGTGTCCGCTTGTAGAATATAGAATTTGTTGACAGGGCCATGGTCAATTGCGCCCGCGAGGAGGATGAAGAACATGAATAGCAGGCCGCCGGCGAGGAGGACCAGCGACACCAGACCGAAGAGACCGTTACCTGCGATGTAGCTATTAGTACCTCGGGATCGTCAGTTGCTGGACCAAGCTTCGCTTACGGGACGCCATGGCTGCGCAGCGCTTCGACGGTGGCTTGAGCTCGCAATAAAGTGCTCAGCCGGGCGACGAGATAGGAAAGCAGCGAAGAGTGACCTGACGGCGGTGTTTGAAAGGTGGAAGAAGCTCTGAAAGCGGCAGAGGAAAGCAGCGCGGGGTGTAATGAAGACGCAGAGGTGGTGTGGGAGGAGATACTCTTTGTACTAACGCAGCAGCGGTAAAAGAGCTTGTGATGTAGGTCGGTAGTATGCAGGCAGTCTATGTAATGCAGTGTCTTGGATGAGGTCACCCAACGAAAGCAACTGACCACCCACTCTACGAGGGTAGAGCTTGATCCTTCCCGTCCGTAGAGTGACAGCCGACGACTTGGAGGTAGATGTGCCGAATAGCTTGGAAGACTGTGGAGAGACAGCGCGATAGGCAAGGCAGGAAGCCAAAGTTGGAGAAGGTTTCTGGGCACCCACAGCACCCAAGAGGGCGAGCAACAGTGCTGGTGGTGGTGCACCGGGAGCAAACACCCACCATCCAACCCCAAGACTCTAGGGGCCAGGGCTTTCGCAGTGGGCAGTGGGCAGTGGGCACTCGATGTCCTCCTTGGGCAATGACGCACCCTCCGAACAAGAAGGGTAAGAGGCCGTGGAGGCCGCCAAACCTGCAGGCATGCAGCACAACAATCCACCACGTCATCACACTCTGCTCCACTTTAGTCATGAACTATGCTTGATATGGCTAGGTGCCGAGGCCCGGGGTCCAATAGCCTCCAACTCTAATCCTCGCCAATCCTTCCACCTGCCGAGCTGGAAAATGACTGGTCCGTAACTCCCCAGTCAAGCCACTGCAGTCTCGCAGTCTGGCATTCTCTCAGCTTCAAGATGCTGATGATCCTTTGGCTCCATCACCTGATATCAAACCATCCTTACATCTGGTGCCAGCCTTGCCTCCTAATTCCCTCATTCTTGTCCAGCTTCCTCATGTTTATTGTATACTCTCTATACTGACTATTGAGATTCCCGCAATGTCCACATGGGTCTACCCTCCCTTACCCCCTGATGAGCTTCGAAAAGCCGAGAATGACTCTTTGGTATGGTTGAACAAGTGACAAATGTCCTCCATCCTCATCCACTGATTTGGTCTCAGAAACTTGAGCTGCAGTGGCTGCTTGAGTCGCTGCAACGCGCCTTGCCCACGCTCAAAGAAGCCCTGGAGGAATGTACTGTACTGTTGGCACCGAAAGAACCTGGGTCGACCTTGGTCTTGTCATCCCTCAGATCTGAGAGCGTCAAAGGCTTTGTCACAAGGGTTGGCACCAAGCTTGTCAAGGGCGTACGTACGCCGATCCCCCAAATGCCCCGAATCTATCTCATCTGAAACCGATACAGGATATCCATCTTCGGCTGACGACTCTGCCACCAAATACACCAAGAGGCACCACCACTTCTACCCCATCCACTCGCTTGATATTTCATTCCTCGTCCTCCTCCGCCGACATCGTCCTCTCGCAATTGTTGGCTGTCAAGTCCTTGCTCAACGACTCACTCGACATCATCGATGTGTCAAGGTGGACTGGACAGTCGTCGGACTCCTCCTTCATCTCCGGTCAATTGAAGCTGCTACATGACCATTTACGTGAGGCCAAGGCCTGCTTGAAAGGTCCAGTGGCCGGGACGGATATATCTTCTATTCCAGGAGCAGAATGGTGGACCAACAGCCCCGATGAAAACGTGTTCCAACCTCCGCTAGGCGAACACCTCAGCTTGCACTTTACTATTCAGGACGCCAATCTTGTCCTCACCGTCCGAACCCTCGCTCCAACCTCTCCAGGTGGAACTCCCAGCACCCCTGCTGAGGGATCTTTCTCTCTCTCTGGGCTCAACCTGAGGACGAGATTGCTGGGGCTGGGTCCCAAGCCTCCAAATCACGACGAAATGGGGGAAATTTATGAATGGCGTGGGCGGCAAGATGTCATCGTCCGTGAAAAGGTCCGAGTTGAGACGAGCGACCCCAGCTTGCTGAGTATTGCCGCAAAACTGAGTGCTCTTGAGCATGAGGTTGGCCGTTGGAGGATGAATCTCCGCATCATTCTGACAGGCAGTACTGAGGAGGATTGAGTACGATCTCCGCTTCCCCGAGAGCTTCATTGTTTGCTTCGACCACGGCAAATCTCCCAATGGCTCGGTTGTCAGCCTACTCTGCGATCTTCACGACAAATACTCCATACATGCACATCCGAAGCCGATAGTCTGGTGGAGTTTTCCACGTGATGTGCAGTTTTGCTGGCGCCCAAAAGTCAAACCTGCAGCCGGACTTTGCCAGTTTTGGTCTTCAGGGATTGTCGTGCTCCCCAACCATGCATCCACTCCGCCCGCGTCTTGCACTTCCACAACCTCAGCTGTTCTTTTTTCCTTGCGACGCCTCGACCGAGTCGCACTCGATTTCGGCTTAACCAATGGCTTGGGACACAAAGACAACAGTCTTTGTTCGCTTCAGCTCTCGAGATAAAGACGGGACATGAAATGGCAGTCTCGGTATCGACGAGGACAAAGACTGTTCTTCTCACAGTCCTTTGTTCTCGCAACACATACGCGTGTGGCAGCTCTAACGGTGTCTTCGACAAAGTCTCACTCCAAGACAAAACACTTGTGAGTGCATATATAGGATGGCTCCCGAAGTCGGCAATGGAGACATCGTCACCCCTGCAGACAAAGAGCAACTCTATTTTACAATGACGGACGCTCGACGATTCAATTCTTCCGGTAGGATCAATATCGAAAGGTCAACCTCGAGTAGAGGGATGCAGCGGAAAGGCTTTGATCAGTTCGAAAACTTTTCTCCAACTCAGACCACAAGACCACCTCACCTTCGACGTCGGATAACGATTGGTGGTTCTGGTCCCCATGTGGAGGGAATTGAGCACAATTCTTGGTCGTCGGATACAAGGACTCCTTCGGCAACTCGTCAGGGCGGACATTCTCAATTTCAGCCTGCGAAAAGCCATTACCCTCCCACCAGCTGGAGGCCCAGTCCACCTGCCCAACCCACCATCTCAGATTTTAAGGAGACCGGGCTCTCAGAAAGCAGTTCAAGTGGTGGTGTGGATGGCGAGGACACGAAGGCGAAAGCCACTGTCTGTCTGGAAGGGACGTACCTCAACCCACCTTTTCCAACCAGCACAAGGGCTTCCAATCCGCCGGCAAACGCGAAAAATCCTCAAGCCTCATTCAATACCACACCTCAGCTTTCACCAGCTCGATCAAACTCTCATCGTCGCTACATCATAGGCTTTTCCGGCTCCACGGTCTCAGCAAATGCGGGAGGCACGCAAAATGGGCGTCCGGGCGCACCGGCGGCAAGTCGACGAGCTTCATCCGGACCAGCTACTCTGCCAGATCCGCACACTGCCTACTCTCAGACTTACTACTACACTGTTTGTGCTCACGCATCGCCTCCGAAGTCTCGTCCCCTAAATGTGCAGCCTACACTTGTGCAGTACCGCAAGGGCCTTCTGGCATACCCACCGTTCCATCTGCGTGCGTACAATGCTGATCAAGCAAGTGACCCTCCGACGATTTGCGTCCTCGAGGGATCGTGTTCCGACTGTGATATTACAACGCGACGCCAGGCCGAGTCAAAGGTATTGGATACATATACTCATCAGCTGGAAAATCTTTATATTCAGTTGAATCTGCTGCAGAAGGATATCGCCATTGAGAACTCCAATATGTCATTTCCGGAGAAAAGCCAAGATGAAATAACTGCGTTTTCGTTCCCATCAACTCTAGAACTTGGACTTGAGGAGACTCAAGCAATCCTTGAGATTGAAGATCAGCTCGACCAATTGGTGAGAAAGCGTGATCGTGAAGTTAAACAGATTTGGAAAGGATACACTGAGAGATGGGGTCCAGGGACGGTTGGCATTCACCGCGAAAACGAGGTTCGCGTACGAAGTCGACCAAGAACTGCTGATACACGAGACACTGTGTCCCGGGATACAGTGGGCTCAACAACCACCTTTGGCGTCCCTTCTGATGATCGCAGTTCTGGACGAACTCGCACAATGACCACACTGAGCACACAGGCAACGATATCACCCTCTCGTCTGAGTCAAAATAGCAGCCACAGAACTCGACCACGTGCCAGTTCTGTCGGCGGTTCACAGGAACGATACTCCGATGGAACATACGAGGTTAGTGTCGAGTCATCGGTGGATGGCATCAGAGGACGGGGTCGGATGGTGGTTGATTGGATCCGGCCGAGTCGACGGGAAAGCAGGAGCAGGAGCACAGTTCAGGCGACGAGTCGGACGAGCAGTCGGAACGTGCCAAATCCATCAAGATGAGGACACTCAGTGGAGGTCTACAGGATGTATATTTCTACATTTCGCAACAAGCATGGGTGGCAGGGTCGAGACAAAAGTTGTTTGGGCAGGCACCTAAGAACGGCATATGGAAGGAAAATCCCAAAGAAATACCAAGGCTGGATATGGAGGCTTATTGCATCCTGGAGGGTTTTGCATGGATGGGCATGTGCATGGGATAACAAGATGGAAGGCATTCAGCGAATTGCGGCAGATCCTGTACACTGACAGGACCAAAGGACACGGGACCACGGGAGGTATCAGTATACCATGTTGAGAGAGACAGCAAGCAGGTAGCAGCAAGCAGGTAGCAGCAAGCAGGTAGCAGCAAGCAGGTAGCAGC